TGCATCAGGCCTCTAGTATTTACATAACTAAGACAATGGAATTCTAAATATATTTGTGACAGACAGTCTTACAGATGAGTAACAGTATTCTTCAAAGAAAAGCTGCCATGGTAATTTCCAAGGTAAAAGAAAAAATAAAACCTTCTCCAGAAATGGACTATATATTCAAAGCCTGCAAATAGATTTTAATCTCAGGTCTTAAAAATCTTATAAAAAGGTCAGTGAGCGACCGTGATGAGAAAATAACAAGGAGTCTGAGCATCCATTAGATGAGAATGAGATCAATCAAATTTGGGTACAAAGAGAGGACAGTACAGTAAAGTAATTGGAGCTGTGCACAGAAAAAGTTACCCAGGAGATATGAACAGATCTAAGCGAGGATAAACATCCGCTACACAGATCTTAATAACGCTTCTTGTCGATGCGAGCAGAATCCCAGAAGAGAGGCTGCAAAGTTGAACAATTCATTGGCTGGCGATAGAAGAAAATAAAATGTGCAAACAGCTAGAGAGGGCCTTAGATGTTATTGTAAAGTTAATGCGCTGTGGAAAGGAGCGGGGAGATCAACAGACCAAGCTCCGCTGTATCAACCAAAGTTCAGAAAAGTGGCTAAGAGAATTCACTGCCCCTTTCTCCTCTTCTATACACAGAGGAAGCGATCTGCCCAGGAATCGTTATAGGAGGCTTGACACAGACGCCTTTAACAATCAGATGAACTGGAAAACATCATTAGCAGCCAAAGGAAAGAAAACATAATTAATCACAGAGAAGACTCATCTTTCTAAATGGGAGACGGATAAAATGAAAGCTTGGAAAAATAGCATGGACCTTCATGCTGGGGCAGGCGGGACAATGCCTTTTTTTGAAACATATGTTTTAAGGAATGTTTTTCTCTTAAAAAAATTTTTTTAAAATTGATTTCAAAGAGGAAGGGGAGAGAGAGAAAGAGATAGAAACATCAATGATGACAGAGAATCATTGATTGGCTGCCTCCTGCATGGCCCCCTACCAGGCATCAAGCTTGCTGGGAATCAAACCTTGGCCTTCTGGTTCATAGGTTGACACTCATCCACCGAGCCACACCCATACTGGCTGTGTTAGAACTTTTTTCTATATGTCAAGGGGGATGGTTTGGTTAGCTCCGTCCTCGATGCCCCTAGTAAATCTTCCTGAACTTTGCTTCCCCCGTTTCCCAGCCCTGCGCCCCACTTGCTCACCGTTTATTCTCAAATCATTTTATTTCTCTGACCTGTTTGTTGAGAAAGTACAGAACTCCAGGCCAAATCCTCTCTCCCACGTTGCCCCGCCATGAAAGACTTCTCTCTATCCAGCCTTACCTCCAATTCTCCAGGTTCAGATGAGGGGGATGGGGATGCATTTTGTGCTTTTTACTTTCACCAGCTCCAACCTCAACCCTGATCTTAGTGTTTTCCATCTTTATTCAATAAAGACTTGATCCGAAGATCGACCAAGATGACCTTAATGTTTCCATCATCTCAGCTATTACCTCCACTGGGAAATTTAGACCAGGCTACACCCCTCCGATACTTGATGGGAGTTTACTCAGTGTCTGCCACCCGGCCAGTATTGCTCAGTGGTTGATTGTCAACCTATGAACCAGGAGGTAACATTTCGATTCCCGGTTGGGGCACATGCCTGCGCTGTGGGCTCGCTCACTCCCCAGTTGTGATCAGTGCAGGAGGCTGCTGATCAATGATTCTCTGTCATTATTGATGTTTCTATCTCTTCCTCCCTCTCCCTTCCTCTCTGAAATTAATAAAAATACATTTAAACAATAAAAGAATGATATATTAGCATGAAATATTAGCATGTGGTCTACCTGAAAAAATATGGTTGTCGTTCTTTTAAGTTACTGAGATACTAATTTAGGAAAGTGTGAGGGGGGAAAAAACGAGGAATGAAAATTTGGGATGGTCATTATCCAGATGCTTTTATTTTTTCTCTGTAGGTTGGGAAGATGTATTGAATATAATGGAGCTGGGTTTGGTGAGGAACCTTTTGAAACCTTTCCAATGCTGAAAAATACTTGTGGGATAAGGACATTCAAATTCTGTCAGAAGGCACACTGCATCTTGTTATTTCTTCAGTATTTAAAAATGATCCCACTGCTTCTTCAATCCCAGCTAGAGCTAATTTAACGAGAAAATATGGAGGCCTTCACTCTCTTGCTGAAGGGCAGGTCAAGGAAGGTTGATTTCTTTCCAGTATACACTTTAGTTTTTGCAGCAAAACTTCTCTGGTTTTCCTCCCCTTGCAAATTGCAGCTTACCTTGTCAGGTTTTCTCTCGCAAGAGGATAGGTAATGGCAAGATAGTGAGTTAATACTAGTTAGATCACTGATTAGTATTAATCGAGTTAATACTAACTAGATCAGGCTATGGGTTGACAGATGCTAAGTAATTGAACCGAAAGCTGTAGCTACAGTGATTCATACACAATTCTGTAACAGCACATGACAACATACCCTCCCAGCCCTCACTGGTTTGGCTCAGTGGATAGAGTATGGGCCTGTGGACTGAAAGGTCCCGGGTTCCATTCAGGTCAAGGGCACATGCCTGGTTTTCAGGCTTGATCCCCAGTAGGGGGAGTGCAGGAGGCAGCCGATCAATGATTCTTTCTCATCACTGATGCTTCTATCTCTCTCTCCTCCTTTCCCTTCCTCTTTGAAATCAATATAAATATTTAAAAAAATAAAAAAAATAAAACATAGCTTTCCATTACATCCACTGAATATTTTCCATCCACCAGGTCTTCTTCTGAGCACTTGACATCAAGTAATGTACCTAATCCTTTCAATTTCCCTTGTAGACAGGTATTATATTCCTTTTTTTTTTTTTTCAACCAAAGAAACAAAAAAACAGAGTTTTAGTAACTTGGTCAAAGTCACACAAGTTGAAAGTGGAAAGTGGTTTGGCTCCAGACTCATGTTATTGAATTTCAGAATTCATCCTAAATAAAATACAAGGTGCCAGTACTTTTAAAATTATACTTCCCTTTGTACTATTTAAATATTAATAATATACTTGATATAAAAACTTGTTTCAATTTTGAGGACTCAAAGGATCATCCTATCTTTCTTTCCTGTGTTTTCTTTTATAATAACACATTCTCATCTTTGTCCTCATTTTTTCCTTTTCCATTATTTCTGCCACAGCACTTTTCAGATGCTGGCTTTTATTCATGTCACAATTTAACTGCTTTTATAAGGCTTATTATCTGCATTCATTCTTCTAAGACTTTCAAAAATATCAACTTATTTAACCTCTTATATAAGTTATAACCCATTGAGTGGTATGTTTTCATTATCCCCATTTCACAGATGGAAAAACAGAGGCAGAGAGAGGTCTAGGGATGTTTTCAAGGTCACAGAGCTCATAAATGGTGAAGCTGGGATTTGACCTCCTGCATTTCAGACAGGATCCAAGGGCCATGCTGCTCGTTGGCTATGCTACCTATGCTTGTCTGTCTTTAAAAGAAGCCTTTAATATTGAACATGATCTCCTAGAGTAGAATGAAGTCTCTCTTATATATGTAAATACATTTCAGAGAGAAGGGAGAGGGAGAGAGAGAGAGAGAGATAGAAACATCAATGATGAGAATCATTAATTGGCTGCCTCCTGCACGCCCCCTACTGGGGATTGAGCCTACAACCCAGGCATGTGCCCTGATCGGAATCGAAACTGTGACCTACTGGTACATAGGTTGACACTCAACCACTGAGCCACACTGACCGGGCAAAGGTGTTCTATTGATATTCAACACAGTGTCCATGGAAATGGTTACTAGGGTAAAGGGAAGTCTTAATCCAAAGAATTTAGATGTCATTTCTGTTGTAGGAGACACGGTATACCCACTGATTAGAATGAATATATATATATTTTTTGGTGGGTGGTCTGGGGATACGTTTCAAGCCAGAAGAAGAAAACGAAGGAAAGTAAAATAACAAGGTCAGGGTCAGCAGATTTGTCTTTGTTGCTGTTGCCGAGAGAGAAAGAACGACAAGTGAGTCGCTGGCAGGAAGCCTAGGCAGCAGAGGCTGACACTGTCGCCTTATTTCATAGCGAGCCGAAAATGCTGACGCGAACTTGAGGCCTCCGGCAGGTAAGCAGAGGGTGCAGACTGCTCAGTGACAGCATCCCATTGTGATCCTGCGATCTCTTAATACCTAGCAGGGTCAGCCATGGGAAACGATGACAAGGAAGGATGGGAGGGAAAATCAAAAGCTTCTCTTTGCTACCTGGAGCTTTAGGGCCATGATGATGTTGGCCTTTTTATCACAGTCTTTAAAAACGTTATTTTTCCTGATACCACCTTTGTCCCTCCTAGGTGTTCGTATTCCTCACCACTCTGTTCATGATGACAAGATTCCCGTGACTTTCTCTACAGCCACCGTTAGACGCTCTCTTAAAATTGATGACATTGTCATGGCTGGCTCAACTTTTTCTTATTTAGTTTTCACTGTGGTTCCCCCTTCTGCTGTTTTCCCCCCCTGAGGCAATGGCCTATGCTTGGGTAAATGATACCATTGAAGCTATTTTTGAGTCCCATTTCCTTAAACAGAAGCTCTCTTTTATTTGAGAGTGGAGGTTACTGCAATGATATATTATGCCTTATGGGCAATCCATTTGCATTTTAACTGGCGCCTTTTGAATGGCTGGCTCCATGGAAGGAACTTGTAACCCTGACATTACAAGGAAAGAGGTTGTTAAAGAACATTCTCTCCCCTCCCACTCCCCCTCCCCCAAACCATATCATTCTGGTCGTGTTTGTTCAAGTCTCTTTTCTAAAAGGAACCCCTGCTTCCCTTACTCAAATCTAGGATGCTGGAGACAAATCTATTGTCACTGGAAGCACTCATTTAGCAGATATGCATTCTCTACCTACTAAATAGCAGGTATTAAGCTTGGCATCAGAGTAGCACAAATAAATAGACAGTCCCTGCACTCAAGGAGGTCAAGGCCAATAGGGGAGATGGACAACATTTAAAAGGCTATCAAAATAAAGTAGCAGAGATAAGCACAAGGATTTCAGGGGCTTTAAAAAAGGTACTTAACAGAGGAGACAGTAGATTAGGCATCAGTTGAAAATTGAGAAAGAGCTCCTGAGTGGCCTAATATCTAAGTTATCCAAGTATCAGTTGTACTGTTATCTTTATGAGTTGATATAAAAATATGTAAGAGAAAGAAGGAGGAGGTAAGGAAGGAGAAAGGGATGCTAGTTAAGGAGAAGGAAGAGCATTGACAGAAAAAGAAACCAAGGTGTGTGTGGAGCTGTGAGTGATTGTATGTAAACAGAGCCTGAATAGGGGAAGCTTAAAGCCTGAGATGGAGAAGGAATTATGGGCCAGGCAGAACAAACTTCTTTAAAAAAATATATATATATATATATATATATATATATATATATATATATATATATTTATTTTTTTATTTTTTTACAGAGAGGAAAGGAGAGGGATAGTTAAAAACATCCATGAGAGAGAAACATTGATTCAGCAGTCTTTTGCACACTTCCCAGTGGGGATGTGCCCCAACCAAGGTATATGCCTTTGACTGGAATTGAACCTGGGAGCCTTCAGCCCGCAGGCCAACGCTCTATCCACTGAGCCAAACTGTTTGGGCCAGAATAAACTTCTTAAAGGAAAATATCTCCCTTGATTTCTTTCTAAGTTCAGGAATTCCTAAATTTAAAGACATATTTTAACATAGAATAATGGATCTTCCAGGTATATTGAAGTACTTCTTTATGTATTTACTGGCATGTCATAATGGCACACATACATAAGTTACCATTTTTCCTCTCTGTCTTGGGATTTCTCCACCATCTAAATCTCTCATTTCCTCTCTGAGATGATGACCTTCATAAATGAATAGTGTCTCGGGAGTTCAGAAATGAAACATTTATTTGAAGATGGGTGTAGGGTTTTCTTTTCCATTTAATCGGGATTTAACATAGAAAAGTACTTAGCATAGAAGACAGTGTTGTACCTAAATATATAGACCCTGTTATGACAATTGCCTATGCCTTTGAATTCACATATACCATATTTATAGAGCAGGTAGAATACTACCTTAACCTATTTACCTTCCTCCCAAAGATACCAATGAGTAGAATGCCAGAGACATTATCAGGTGAAGACAATCATGTACTCAGAGGAGTCTCTCAAGAGTCCTGGGCATTTTATCCATCTAAATTGGGTGTCGTATATGACACCTGTCTTAAGGGATCTCTTATAAGATCCCACAAATCTTTGGCAAGACATTTATGCTCTAGAGTAGGGGTGTCGAACTCAATCAGAGAAGGGGCCAAAATCTAAAATCCAGCCTAAATCGCGGGCCGAATGGTTTACTGAACAGTCATAAACTGTCATTGTGATGGAAACGCAGCGGAGTGCAGTGATGACAGCGCGGTGCGGGCCACATTTCAAGACCTGGCGGGACGGATTTGGCCCGCGGGCCTTGTGTTTGACGCATGTGCTCTAGAGACTTCAGGTTCTTCTCTAATAAAATGATAAATATAAGTACCTATAAAATAATGCACCACCCTGTCCAAAAAGTTTAAGAGTCTGTTTAAGAGCATTCATATATGCACATTTCATATTATAATTCCAATCTCTATATATAAAAGGCTAATATGCAAAGTGTCCCCTTGGCAGTTTGACCAGGAGACCAGGAGTTCGATTGCTCACTATGACATGCACTGACCACCAGGGGGTGGCATGGAACATGGTGCACCTCTGAGGGAGTGAGGGGAGGATGAGGTGGGGAGGCGGGGAACTTGATTGGCCCTGATTGCAGGCCAGGCCTAGGGAACCTGCCTGTGCATGAATTTTGTGCACCGGGCCTCTAGTTGATTTATATAAGCCTAAAGTACACTAGTCAGTGATGGTTTCTTTCTTTTTAATGATCTTCATTTTAACATTTATTATAATAGTAGCTTAAGTGAACTTCTAAAATATTAGTTTAACCTTGGCACTCGGAGGAATTACCTACTCACAATATTTCCCCCATTAAAAAAAAAGTCAGTATTTTTGAAATGTCAAATTAACATTAAAAGGACAAAAATTAAAGCTCTTCTTTGATTTGATCTTACAAAACTCTTAAAAATTGGCCATAACATATATCAAAAAGGCATGTCATATTCTTAACACAAAAACTAATCAGTAAAAGATTCAGGTACCTGGCAGCGTATGTGAACTTTGGAAATGCTAAAACATTGAATTTTACTTTTGGGCGACAGTGTTCTTGGAAAAGAACATTTCCATTTCTTGTTTACTCACATTAAATAATAATTACAGACATTTTGTGGTTCCTTATGCTCATTTTGGCAAAGGAAGGAATTTAAGTTCATTCTCATGAATTTCCTCTGGGACTTAACATATAATTTCTGTCAAGATATTTTGATAGATGGCAGTTTGGGAAGATTAAGTGATTCATTTAATGTGACAGAAGGAAGTCCCTGTGCAGAGCTAAGAATGGAATTCAGCTCACTGTAATCAAGAAATCTTCTCTATCTCTTATTTTAAAACAAGTTTTAGTTTTCCTGCAGAATTAAAAGACTCATTATAAGCCATTTGTTGAATCTGAGTTGGTTAGTGGATCTTTGGATCCACCTGCCAGACTTTTCTAGTGGAATATAAACTCATTTTTTTCTTTATTTATTTTCTTTAGTTTTTAAATATATATTTTATTGATTTTTTACAGAGAGAAAGAGAGAGGGATAGAGACTTAGAAACATCAATGAGAGAGAAACATCGATCATCTGCCTCCTGCACACCCCCTACTGGGGATGTGCCTGCAACCAAGGTACATGCCTTTGACTGGAATCAAACCTGGGACCTTTCAGTCCGCAGGCTGATGCTCTATACACTGGGCCAGACCAGATAGGGCAGATGACCCTACTTTAGCATGACTTACTCTTCTCCAACTTGTCAGCTGCCTATCCAGTATTAAAAAGAATCGAGCAAACCCTCCCCGGAAAACATGAAAAGTACTATGGATCTTTCTGAACATGTTTTTACCTGGGGGTTTGTAGGTGCTTTTATCCCCAAAGGAATTTTCATAGATTTCTAGTAGTTTTCCAGTAAATGTTCACATTTTTGAAATTATTGAACATTTTAATAGTGTTGCAGATGAAATGAGATTGGCTGGTTTCCACTGTACAAAAAAAAAAAAAAAAAAAAAAAGGGACGAGAGAAGGAGAAATCCAGCCTTAAAATATAAAAGCTCAGGGAGAGAGGATTGAACTCTGAAAACATTTTGAAGGCTGTGTGCACAGTAACTTCAGATCCCTTGATCTGATCTCTAATTACCGGAATAAGGGTCACCTTTTACACTTGAAAGGGATTATAAACATATGAAAGCGTTTTTTCCCCAGATAGGTGATCTTGTGGAGAGAGATTGAAGAATAGTTCAGATACTTTAATTGATGGGTGTGGGGGTGGGTGTGGGGGTGGGGGATGCATGTGGGGAGTGCTGTCAAAGGGAGTTAGAGGCCCTTCCGTGTAACATCTTAAAAAACCACTTACTGGAAAGCTTCAATGATTGATCTGCTCCAGGATGACATCTTCTTCATATTTCTACACGTTTAATGTTAATAGAGGCATTTAATACTTCTTGTCCATTGGTTCCAATAATTGTGTGGCTACAAATTACTCGTTACATTGCTGGCAAGTTATCACCTTAAGCTTCCCTCCTCCTCCTCCCCCCTCCTAAATCTTAAAGAGAAAACACATAGGTACATATTGAAGGGGTGGGTCTCTTTAATTTTTATTTTTTAAATATATTTTATTGATTTTTTTTACAGAAAGGAAGAGAGAGGGATAGAGAGTTCGAAACATCAATGAGAGAGAATCATTGATCAGCTGCCTCCTGCACACCTCCCACTGGGGATGTGCCCGCAACCAAGGTACTTGCCCTTGACCGGAATCGAACCTGGGACCTTTCAGTCTGCAGGCCGACACTCTATCCACTGAGCCAAACCGGTTTTGGCAAGGGTCTCTTTTAGAGATTGAATTGGGGGAGGTAGCCTCTGCTCTGGGCCATGCATTAGGTTTTGGGGGAGCTGTTGCCTCCTCCACGTTAGCCAGAGCACTAACGTGCTTCCTTACAGGTGGCCCAAGCATATGGGCCCATCCCTTATTCAGGGTCATTCCTTGTTGTCTTTTGAACTTCAACCAACTCTTTCACTTTGCACGTCAAGAGGTCCATAGACAATAGGATCCATACTTTATGCCAGATCATTTTTTATTTTTTTTTTGCATATCATTTCTACTCTTGATTATGTTCTTTCTGTGTATACAGTACTCTGGTAACATTCTCTGTCCTAACTGTGTTTATCTGTGTGTGTCTTCTCTTCATATTGGAAATTCCTCTGTGTAGGAAAATCTCTTACAGGGCAAGCACTATCTTAAAATGAGTAGATTTTGAAGAAATATTGGATGCAATGGGAAACTCAAATCCAGATTTGGCTGGATCTTACTCTGGTTATCAATGCTTATGCGTCACAATAATCAGCAGTTTTAAAACAAATTAAGAAAAGAATCAGGTTGAAACCAGTTTGGCTCAGTGGATAGAGCGTCAGTCTGCGGACTGAAAGGTCCCAGGTTCGATTGCGGTCAAGGGCATGTACCTTGGTCGCGGGCACATCTCCAGTGGGGGGTGTGCAGGAGGCAGCTGATCGATGTTTTTTCCTCTCATCGATGTTTCTAACTCATCCCTCTCCCTTCTTCTCTGTAAAAAAATCAATAAAATACATTTTAAAAAAAAACAGAAAGAAAAGGCGGGTACAATACAATAGATACCGAGAGAGAGCAGCATGTGCCTTTATTCCCAGCCCGTGGTTATCATTGTTCCATTTTATTGTTGGTTTCTGTTGCTAGTCTCTTATATGGGCCTTACTAATAAATTAAACCCTATTATGTAGGAAAACAATATAGACAGGGTGTGGTACTGTCCATGGTTTCAGGCCCCCGTGGGAGTGTTGGTACATATCCCCAGGAATTGGGGCGGGGGGAGGGGGTGGAGGAGGGGGCTCGCGATGTGTGTGTGTGACTTTTACATAATATGGTGGCAACTGTCTTCTTTTTTTTTTTATATTTTTTTTATTGTTGATAGTATTACAGATCATTTCTCACTTGTCCCCTTCCCCCTTTCACCCCTTCTCCCAGCCTTTACTCCCCTCATCTCTTCTCCCCGCCCCCCCCCCCCCCAGGTCTTTACTAACCTATTTCCCATGCCCATGGGCTGTACATATAAATATATAAGTTCTTTGGTTTATTTCTTCTCATCCTCTTAACCCCACTTCGAGGTATGTCAGTCTGCCCCATGCCTCCCCGCTTCCCTTCTTGTTTTGTTGGTCAGTTCATTTTGTTCATCAGGTGCCACAAATACAGGCAGTCTTGGGGTTACGTTGTTTCGTGGTTACCATCTCCCACTTATTTATATAAAAAAAAGTTCAGTCATTTCGTCGTATGTACATATGTGCTTTATGGTTATTTTTATTATTTATTTACCACAAATAAATGTCAGGGATTGTTATCTATCTATCTATCTATCTATCTATCTATCTATAAGATATATATATATATATATATATATATATATATATATTTTTTTTTTTTTTTTTACTGTTTCACTTCATTACTGCTGTGTGTGTGCTCCCTGTGAGTGATGAGGTGCTAACGTAGGTGGGTACTGACTTAGGAGGAACTTTGAGTGGTTCTGCTCCTGTTTCTGAAAGAAGTGTTTGCACTCAGAGTCATTCTGGAATGTTCCAAATGCTCAGGAGCAAGAACCCCTCTCCCCTCAAAGTTGTGGGGGGATGACCCCCTCTTCCTGACCAGCGACTGGAGTTGTGGGGAATGTATCACTCGCCAGATGCTCTGCCGAGCTCTTTTAATTAATTATTTATTTATTTATTTATATTTTTTAATATATGTTTTATTGATTTTGTACAGAGAGGAAGGGAGAGAGATACAGAGTTAGAAACATCGATGAGAGAGAGTCATCGATCAGCTGCCTCTTGCACACCCCCTACTGGGGATATGCCCGCAACCAAGGTACATGCCCTTGACCGGAATCGAACCCCGGACCTTTCAGTCCCCAAGCCGACGCTCTATCCATTGAGCCAAACCGGTTTCGGCTTTGCCGAGCTCTTTTATGTGCATTATCTCATCAGATCCTCACCATCATCTCAGAAATTAAGGGTGACCCTTGTGTCTCTTATAATTGGCAAAAACACTGGAGCTGGAGGGGTTGCATAATTTATAATAGTTCGCAAATTTAGCAAATGAGCACAGCCGGGACTTTGAGTGCCAAGAATTTGACACCAGAATCTATGGACTCATTCCCCTTTTCTATCGACACTGCAGAAACCAGTCTCCTGGCATTGCTGTTGCCTGTGATTTTATTTCATATCTGCTGTGTCTCCAGTCTCGGAACGCTTGGACAAGTTCAGTGACTATCCAGAGCCTGAGTTTCCGGATCTATAAAGAGTGAATTAGCCGAAACTGATTTGGCTCAGTGGATAGAGCATGTCTGCAGATTGAAAGGTCCCAAGTTCGATTCTTCCTGCACACTCTCCACATCCCCAGTGGAGAGTGTGCAGGAAGAAGCTGGTTGGTGTTTTTCTCTCATCAGTGTTTCTAGCTCTCTATCCCTCTCCCTTCTTCTCTGTAAAAAAAAAATCAACAAAATATATTTTTAAAAAAGAGTGAATTATCACAGGTATTTTCTGGGCTTGTTGCAATAATTAAAAAAGAAAGAACAAAGTATAAAATGCTTAGCCGTGTGTGGTGAGTCGACTGTATAATAATTAAGGCCATCATCCAGGAACCTGGACAGTGTCATATGTCCTAGAAAAGGGACAGACATAGGGATTTGCAAATGGAAGATGAAGGCAAGCAGATCAATGGCTGCCATCTAGCATCGACCACAGCATTGGGGAAAGTAGCTATTTATCAATTTAGCTGACTGATAGAATGTGTGCACCTCAATATATTGCCTCTCTTTAAAATGTAATATAATGCCTCTATCTAAAGCACATGTGTCAAACACAAGGCCCAGGGGCCAAATCCGTCCCGCCAGGCCTTGCAATGTGGCCCGCACCGCGCTGTCATCACTGCACTCCGCTGCGTTTCCATCACAATGACAGTTTATGACTGTTCAGTAATCCATTCGGCCCGCGATTTAGGCTGGATTTTAGATTTTGGCCCCTTCTCTGATTGAGTTCGACACCCCTAATCTAAAGACAAGATTAAAAACCAAACTTTGAGAATAGAGCAGAGTGACTTGGGTACCTGATACAACAGAATTTCTCAGTCACCTGGAAGAGCAGGGACTTTTTTCAGCCTCAAACAAGGAACGTGGTCCAACCTGGACCGTAGAGTAAGAGAAATCTCCTCTGGGTTAAGATAAAGACATTCTCATAGTCCCTTTTGGCCAAGAGTTTCCATCAAACCACCAAATGGCAGTATGAAAAGTCAGATTGTTATCTCCTGTGTGGCATCCGTAGTTCTGAAACCGGGCCATTTAAACTCTCAGGCCACATGCTCTCCGACTAATTTTCCTTGTGCTAGTGCAGAACCCATTCAGGGATTGTTTTGTAAAGTGATGTAACCTACAAGATTATCGAGATTCTCCTTCCCAAGTAATCAAAACATGGTGAGTAAAATCCCTAAATATTTGGGTTTGACTAGAAATCATTTCTTTTCTGTGTGTGCTTTAAGTTATGTATACAAGTCAACTTATTCCAGAAAGTCAATGCATTAAATTTTGAAAATTAGGAATGTTCTTGGCATTCATTATACAGATGGAGACATCTGTAAAATTTTTTTTTTATATTGTTTCTCAACACTACCGGTGAACATACCTATTGTCCACAACAAAGATCTTCATTATTAGAGAAACCCAAGTGACAAGATTCCTTAGCTTGGAACTGATTTGAGGACTTCATTGCCTGCTGAACTCCAAAACTTGTCTGAGCAAGACAAGAACAAGTATATTTGAACAGTCTTGACCTATTTTTTTGGTCTGTTAAAAGCAATGAATAACATTTACGGTCCATCAAAAGTCACCAGTTAAAATTAGTGGAATATTCAGCTTATTTTTTTATTTTTTTTATTAGAATTATATTTTAATAAAAATATAATAATAAAATTATATTTTATTAATTTTTTTTAAAGAGAGAAAGGGAGAGGGATAGAGAATTAGAAACATCGGTGAGAGAGAAACATTAATCAGCTGCCCCCTGCACACCTCCTACTAGGGAAGTGCCCGCAACCAAGGTACATGCCCTTGAATGGAATCAAACCTGGGATCCTTGAGTCCGCAGGCTGATGCTCTCCACTGAGCCAAACCGGTTAGGGCTTCAGCTTATGTCTTGTTGCAAGTGTCAGAAATGCAAATAGTTTGGGGGCTTTCATAAATAATATATTTATTCAGAAAAACTACTGATTTCTTTTCTCATTAAAATTTAAATTAAATCTATGTGTAACATATTTGAAACATTGATAACTTAAGCTCTTGAGATTATAGAGAAAAGTCCATTATAATGTGTTTTCATGAATGATGATTAAGTTTCAGAAAAATAAGGTAGACATCCAGGTTCCCCAGAGAAGAATAAAGGATTTGTCACATAAAGGCTGAAAGAACTGAGTCTCTACATACTGTGATGTGTCGCCCACTGAATATACACAGACTTAAGTGAAGAAAGAAGTTGTTTGCCTTTAGGAGTGAAATAAGGAATGAGATTAGGGTTGATTTTTGGAAAGCAAGGGAAAAGGAAATTCACATTTACCAGTTTCTTTCCTGTGTGGAAGAAGAATCAGAAACACATCCATTACAGAGAACATTTTTTTTTATTAGTATGCACATCATTAATTAGGGAGCCACTAACTTCAGGATAGAAGTTAATTAACTGTGAGATCAATACCTAATGCTGACTTTACTTTTTATATCTCTCTGCCAGCACCAGACCAGTAAAAGCAGTAATGTTTTGAAGTAAAACTTATCTGACCAGAACCTCAGTCGTTCCTGAGGTTCTCATGGAGAAAGAAAAGGCGGTTGTGTTTGTAAAACCTGGGCATTCCCTAATGGCTATGTAAAGCGAAGAAGATGATAGGATAACCCAAGTTATTCGAGTTATATCAATTTTATATCCCATTAACAATTTGTCACAAGTAAGATAATCCATTATTTTATCATAGTGTTTGCACATGCATAGTGTTATAATCATTTTTATTGTGTTAATACTATGGTCGGATATCCTCAGGGGTATCCTAGTATATGTTACATCTTCCTCTCATGCAGGTGAAGTATTGTCATATTTAAAGTGAGCACTGCAGCCAAAACCGGATTGAGTCAGTGGATAGAGCGTCGGCCTGAGGACTGAAAGGTCCCAGGTTCGATTCCAGTCAAGGGCATGTACCTTGGTTGCAGGAACATCCCCAATAGGAAGTGTGCAAGAGGCAGCTGATCGATGTCTATATCTCATCAATGTTTCTAACTCTCTATCCTTCTCCTTTCCTCTCTGTAAAAAATCAATAAAAAATATATATAAATAAATAAATAAATAAATAAATAAATAAATAAAGTGGCTCAGTGTCTCAACATCAACCTATGAACCAGGAGGTCACACTTTGTTTCCTAGTCAGAGCACATGCCCAGATTTCAGACTTGATCCCCAGTAGGGGGTGTGCAAGAGGCAGCCAATCAATGATTCTCTCTCATTATTGATGTTTCTCTCTCTCCCACTCCTTTCCTCTCTGAAATCAATAAGAGTATATATTTTTTTAATTTAATAATAAAGTGAGCATTTTAGGGTCCTGGAGAAGTATCTCAATTTCTAGTGGAGAGAGCTTTGGTCCAACCTTCGGTCCCCATCAGTGCGGAGTACACTGTCTTTGAACAACACTTTTAAATGTAGCCAGGGCAGCTGAAACTGGTTTGGCTCAGTGGATAGAGCATCAGTCTGCAGACTGAAAGGTCCCAGGTTCAATTCCGGTCAAGGGCATGTACATTGGTTGTGGGCACATCCCCAGTAGGGGGTGTGCAGGAGGCAGCTGATTGATGTTTCTCTCATCATTGATGTTTCTAGCTCCCTGTCCCTCTCCCTTCCTCTCTGTACAAAATCAATAAAATATATTTTAATAAATAAATAAATAAATAAATAAATAAATAAATAAATGTAGTTGGGGCAAATTTTAGTTCTGGGAGCTCTGTTCTAAAGACTGTGGAGTCAGGGAGATATCTGTTTATGGTCATTGTCCAAGACCTGTCTCCAAAGTGTCCATTAAAGCATGTTAATGTTAGAAGCCAAACGTTGACTTCTTTTCTGAAACCTAGCATGAAACTGAAGTGCAGCCTGAACCAAAAATCCCCCACTTGCCTCATTTTTCTCTCTGAACCAAGGACTTGGCATTCTTTCCCCAAGGCACAGTATCTATGTTTTCATAATGACTTTCTTTGTTCCAAGCTAATTGCTTTAGAATGCTCCCTTCCATTTTGCATTTTTATCACCCTCTTGATGTAGACCTGAGTTGATACACGGAAAGCACTTAGAAAATTGTTTGTCACATGGAAAGCACTTAATACATGTAGGCTATTGCTATTAAAATAACAGCAATTATTATTTCAAAATTTTTTCACCAACTAGTTTGTAAGGACCTATAAAAGGTGGAATATACTAGGTGTGCCAGTTAATGATGGGATTTTGTAATCAAAGAAAACATGAGAATTTCAAGAGAAACATCAAAAGTGATTTATTCCAAATGTCTATAGCTAGCTACACATTTCCCCATCTTTTAGGTAATTTGTGGATACCGTCCCAATAGAACTTTTCTTGCTTTGAGGCAAACCATTCAGAGACCCAATTTTCCACTTCTTCGTATGTTTTGAAGTGCTGCTCAGAAAGTACGTGTGCCATCGATCGGAACAGGTGGTTATTTGAAAGGACCAAGGTCTGGTAAATATGGCGGGTGGGTTAATACTTCCCAGGAAGGATCTTTGAACGTGTCTTTCACTGGTTTTGAAGTGTGTGATGGTGCGTCACCATGAAGCAAAATCACTTTGCCGTGTCTTCTGGCTCATTCTGGTCGTTTTATGATCAAATCGTGGTTCAAATTGATGATTTGTTGTCGGTAGTGATCAGTATTAACGGTTTCACCTGGTTTTAGAAGGAGATAGGTTTGGGGTGTTTAGGGTCTGCCTGTCCTCTCCAGAGTGTTCCATGATGTCTTGCTCATTGGCAGATTGTACTTAAATGGATGTTTATCTGTAATAAGCTCTCTGACCGTTTCCAGTTTCCTGTATTTCTCAAAGGCACTGCATTGTCTTTAATGCCTGCCCTTCATTACATCACGTTTGGGAAGGGCTCCTGGGGGTTTTGTTTTGATGTTTTGCTACTCTCTCTTGCCTGCACTCCAGGTGCACTTTGGGAAATTTCTGCCAAGGCCCTGCAGGAATAGCTTCCTGAGCAGGGAATCGCCTGCTCACCCTAGGACGGGCTCCCTGACTCTGATCGCTGCAGAAGCTGGGGATTCCTGTGTTTACTCACTTCTCCGCACTGTCAGCCGGGCCTCGGCCTCATTGATCCACCCGCGCTTCCACCCATTAATTATTAATCAATATATATTACAGTCTCCCAGAGTTTAATGCCAAAGGGCATTCTCGAATCTTTCGATCAGAAAATGAGCTCTCTCCTCTTCCTGAACGCGCCTCCTGCAGCCGTGGAAATAAATGAGGCTCAGTGGCATGGTCCTTCATCGATACCCAATGGAGCATCTATTATAGTTGTCAGCGCTTTGAAATGTATTTTTGTTAATATTGGAAGTATTGTTTCACATGTTTATTTTTTTTTATAAACCAGTGGTCTAGATGTAGATTCCAAGTGAAAAAGTGAAATAAATCAGACCTTTTTTTGAAAATGTGCAACCTCCATCGATGGTTCTGTTTCTCAGTGACATCAAGTACATTTCACCTCTGACATGAATCTCCGGAATGTTCTTCCTTGGATGTTTAGTATGATTTCTGGTTCATTCGCTGCTATTCCATGGCTTCATCACTAAGTGGCACCCTGCCACCTTATTTGAATTTCCTTCCCTTCTCTCCAGTGTGACTGCAGGATGTTCAAAGTGGGGGCTGGACCCACATGCCCAGGTTGGGGGATCCCGGCTTTGAAATGTATTAGGCTCTGTGACAAAGGACAGCCCAGATAACAACTTTTCATTAAAACGAAGATAACATTAGTAACTCTCTTATATAGGAACTCTGTGAGATCTTCAAAAGTCCAAGTATTTAGAAAAGAACCTGGCAAAGAATATCCAATAAAATGTATCTGCTATTTTATTACTTATTCAGGGTAGTTAGAGCATAAACTGGGAGTACAGAAATAAGTATGTCACAGGATTTAAGGAATAGTCAACCAGGCAACACAAGCAAACAAGGCTGGATAGAGACTACTACGATGGCACAGGTAAGGATCAGTGCCATGAAGACTTTAAGTAGAATGTAGCAGACTGTGTCTGGGTTTGATGTTAAAATATACATATATATATATATATATATATATATATATATATTTACTGATTTTAGAGAGGAAGGGAGGGAGAGAGAGAGAGAGAGAAAACACAATATCAATGATGAGAGATGTGAGAGAATCATTGATCAACTGCCTCCTGCACACTCCACTCTGGGGATCAAGCCCACAACCCGGGCATGTGACCTGACCTGGAATCGAACCACGTCCTCCTGGTTCATAGGTGGACTCTCAGTTACTGGGCCATGCCTGTCAGTCTGGGTTTGTTCTTTACAAATTCTAGTGAACATACCTTTTTATTTTTTTATTTTTATTTTTTAATATATTTTATTGATTTTGTTCAGAGAGGAAGGGAGAGAGATAGAGAGTTAGAAACATCGATGAGAGTGAGTCCCTTGACCAGAATCGAACCCAGGACCCTTCAGTCCCCAAGCCGACGCTCCATCCATTGAGCCAAACCGGTCTCGGCTGAACATACCTTTTTAAAAATATATATTTTATTGATTTTTTTTTGAATCATCAAAGGAGGGGTGAGGGTGGGGGATCCTTTAAGAAGCTGATCAATTTTGGGCCCCACAGCGGAACACTACCAAACACCAATACTCCTGATGGGATGGGATGGGTCATCAGGAGCACTTCTGAGTCATGTCTGAGTTTATTTCCAGCTCATCAGCCTCAGGTTCCACACTGAAGGATTACTTGGGAGGTTCCCTTGCTAACAGCCCCTGAACTTACTCTCTGACTTTGAATTTGGGCACCTCCAAAGCATCAACAGGTCACCAAAGCATCAATAGGTCACCTCATTGATTTTTTACAGAGAGGAAGAGAGAGGGATAGAGAGTTAGAAACAACGATGAGAGAGAATCATGGATCAGCTGCCTCTTGCACACCCCCCACCAGGGATGTGCCTGCAACCATGGTACATGCCCTTGACAGGAATCGAACCCGGGACCTTTCAGTCCACAGACCAACGCTCTATCCACTGAGCCAAACCGATTTTGGCTACTGAACATGGCTTTCACAGCTGCTACATGAAATGCGTATTTCATGCCCATTTTTCAGGTAAGGAAATAGATCCTGGCAGCAGTGAGATAATCTGCTTGAGGCCCACCGTCCTGTCAGTGGAAGGACAGGGATTTCAGTTCAGGCTGGTTTCATTCCAGAGCTCTTTCTCCTGGGCGCCCGCTTTCTGCTCTGCCATCTGCCCGTATTTTCCATCTCAGCTGTTACCGGTTAAAAATTTAATATCACCTCCTCAATATTATTTCTTCTATTCTGGAAGGAGTTAGGTTTCCTGTGACATCTAATAAGAAAATCATAAACATGTCTGCAGCCCGAGCTGCCGCTGACTCCGCGTTGGATGCGGGGCCACAGAGCTGCCAGCCCCTCACTTAGCTTCTTGCCATTTCTGTGACGGTCCCCTCCCTCTGACAGGTGCACCTCTGCCCCAGCTGCAGCCGCCTCTGGACCCACACACCAGATAGAAAGCATGTGGTGACATGTCTGTAGGATGTCCCCCTCATGTGAAGGGCTCCCCCACTTCAAGAGGGAAATTCAGAGATGCCTCTAGAGTAGGGGTGTCGAACTCAATCAGAGAAGGGGCCAAAATCTAAAATCCAGCCTAAATCGCGGGCCGAATGGTTTACTGAACAGTCATAAACTGTCATTGTGATGGAAACGCAGCGGAGTGCAGTGATGACAGCGCGGTGCGGGCCACATTGCAAGGCCTGGCGGGACGGATTTGGCCCGCGGGCCTTGTGTTTGACACATGTGCTCTAGAGGCTTAGGGGTGACTCCCTCCAAAATGTGTGCAGCAAGCAAGCTAGCATTCCCAAGAATTTGTTACGGAAAGAAGTGAATTTTAAATGGCAAATGGGAACGTTAGGTAGGAAAATGGTCTTGTTTTTGTGTGTCTAAAGCAAGCTATAGGCCTGTTGACATGA